AATCTGGTAGCGCCGGGAATCGAACCCGGGAACTCTGGATCTGTAGCCAGGAACTCTGATTACTAGACCACAGAGGCGGTCATAAAAATGCATTTTAAAATCTTTTTTACACATTTAAAAATCGAATTATATGTTTATTTGTTCATCTATTAATGGGTATTATAGGAGAAATACATTATTATGAAACAAATACAGGACATTCCATGATCTATGCAATAGGTGTTCCAAAAAAGCAGCATAATGGTGAAATCGCATAAACAGAACATAATTTCCCTATCTCGCCTTATATTCCGCTTCCCAAACCCACGCAATAACCTGCTTCCCTGTTCCCCCCCCCGCCCCGCCAGCTAGCAATTCACATTAAAATGACCGCTATGAACTGAATTCGGTCTAAACTGGTTCAGGGCGTTAAAACGAAATAGTAATTCTTTAACTCGCAACTAACGCGGAGTACATGTATAAAAAATCAAACTGTCATGTTTTTCTCAGTTACAGTAACGTAATTAGGAGTACGTAGTAGTGTAGTTGGTTGAGGCACTATGCTACAAGCATGAAGGTCGCGGGTTCGATTCTCGATGAGATAATTTAATTTTTCTATTGACCTAATCCTTCCAGCCGCAATATGACCCTGGGGTCGACTCAGTCTCTAACAGAAATGAGTACCAGGAATCTTCCTAAGGGTAAAGGGCGGCCGGCGCGTAAGGCTGACAACCTTGCCGCCATCTTTGAGCCGATTGTCTAGAAAATATGGGAGCCTCGACGTCTCACAACCCTATGGGCCTTCATGGTCTGTTACAGGGATAGCTTTACTTTCCTTTTTCTTTTACAGTACGTAATTATAAGAGTGAGAAGTTTAAAAAAACTACAATATAAACACGGCGTCATCCAGTCATAACAATCGCGACGTTGCTAGAGGTTACGAAATAAGACAACAATGGAGTTTACGTTTACATGGTGGCATAACATGACTAAATGACTATCAATGATCACAATATGGGCAACAGATCTGCAGTAATGAATGTTCGTTTAACAAAAAAGAAAGTCCACAAAAGCACTGTAACTTGTGTTGCCCCAGGCAACCGCTTGCTCAGTCTCTGTTGTCATGCTGACCCTACCTAGAAATCTCTACACTACAACTCTTCAACTTCTCGAGAAGGACTCAGGTCCAAGGAGCAAGTGAGTTAGTATGATCCTGTTAAGAAATGGAAATGCCCATTTTGAACTCAACTGAAGTAGTCTGCGCAATTTTTAACAACAAAATCCGTCTTTGTCACGGTAAAATGGTAAAGTTATCCGGACCATGGGCCATGAAGGCCCATAGGGTTGTGAGAGGTTGAGGTTTCCACATTTTCCAGACAATTGGCTCACAGATGGCGGTGAGGTTGTCAGCCTTACACGCCGGCCGCTCTTCACCACCAGGAAGATTCCTGGTATTCATTTCTGTTAGAGACTGAGTCGACCCCAGGGCCATAGTGCGGCTGGAAGGATTAGGTAAATTCATAAAAATCCACCTAATCGGGACTCGAACCCGCGACCTTCCGGCTTGTAGCATAGTGCCTCAAGCAACTCGCTACCGCGTACCCCTCTTTGTCACGGTAGTGGTGACAACCTACAGCTCCTAGACAATTCAATTTACTTAACGCCTACTACTGGTCACTGAATTCGGGTTTCCTCAGCTACTAGCCCTAAAATCAACACAGGCAAACGGTCGCCGTAATGGAAAATACATCGCGTCAACATTCGAATGCCAAGTTTCTTTCTCGGTTTATCTCAATTGCGCAAACTGTTACATCGTCGCATTGGAGGTTGATTATAACTGGTACGTTAAAAGGGATATTGTTTTCTTTTTAGTGGGTTATTTGATGACGCCGTCAGAAGCCTGCTTATATAGCGTCGAATGGTAGACCAACTGATGAATGATGAATTGGAAAGAATTTGTAAGGAAACGGTTTTGGTCGAGAGGTACCACTCCGGCAGTTTCCTGGGCGCCTGAGGAAAGCCTCGAGAAACTTCGGTCAGGTTAGCCGATGACCCGACCGAGATTCAAAGCGAGTACTTTCTGAATATTAGTCAACGAGCGCTACTGGTTTACTAGCCCGATCAGCGGGAGGGTTGCAGCGGTTGTTGTATTAAGTCAAGGCAAGGTACAGACGGTAGAGAGGGGGCGTGTCTTAAATATTATGTCAATGACCCCATGCAAACATGGATAGTAAGCGTGCATACCAAATACTTCATAAAAAAACATATTTTGGGGTCCTTCTCGTAGTAGTATTGCTGGGTTCGAATCCACCGGGAGACCAGATTGTCTTTGACACTGTGTGCCAACGCGAAATAATAATCCCTCGGTGTGGAAACATTGCGGTCCTTGACTAGCGTGTAGTGGAGGTGTCTGTTGAAAGCCTTCTTAATGTTGGTCACATTTTCCACCTGTGCAATCCCTCTCACGCTAATTTGTTTACGCTTTTCAAAATCTGACTGCACGGAAGACATCTCTTGTACTACTACAACCCTCCACCTACGAACACCACTGACTACAGCTGACTGCCTGCCAGTCACCTTCAACAAGGTCGCGCCTGCGCAATATACAGTTCTGTGTTACGTCTTCCACATAACAGATGCCGCATATGTACAACGAACCTTGTCTCCACCGGGAACTATAAAAAGCCAAAAATAACCTATAAAATTGTAGTGTCTGCCCGCAACTGGAAATTATTTTGTTCAGATGTTTAATCAGAAGTTAATTTTTACAAGAAATAAACAAAACAACAAGACTGTTTTTTCTGTGCAAAGATGCTTTGCCGCTGCTATTTGGCAGACAGCGCGTTGCTGAACAAATTAAGCAGCGATTTTTATCGACAACAGCGTTTCGAAATATGTTACAGACACCGCTGTGAAAACCTCAGACCTAACATCATCGCTATTAACTCACGTCCCCCTGAAATGCCTGCTGGAGGGGAAGATCCGCCTAGCTTGTTTGTTACTGTGCTGGTTACATGAGATTCAGCACAACGAAAGAATCATATTACAGATTACTGTTCTTGGGTCAGGCGCCTTATAGTTCTGTAGATAAATATGAAGGTTTCGGAGAAACCTGCAGCATCTATCTTCAAAGTAGAAAACTGAGGCAAGGTTCCCCCGAAACTTTGGCAACTGTCCACTAGACTACAAGGCATCGCATTCCAGAAAGCAGTAATCATCATACACATAAATCACATTCGAATTTAACAAGTTAGGAAATGTATTCAGGGCGTAACAAATCAATCGTGTTCACCTTGCTATTGCCTCGAGACTTTCGATTCGTGAATATTAACGCTCTCTTATAATCAGCTCAGTCGGTATAACGACGGGCTACGGGCTTCACAGCCGGGGTTCGATTCCTAGAGTGGACAGGAGTGTTTTTTCTTCTTCTCTACAGCATCCAGTCCGGCTCCGAGGCCTACCCACTTCACTATCCAATGGTATCGGGGGCTCTTTCTCTAGGGGTAAAGTGGCTGGGGCGTGAAGCTGATCACTCACGTCATCTAGTGCCGAGACCAAGAATGGTGGAGTTATACCTCTACTCCCCATGCGTCTTCATGGCGTGGTGCTTAATTAATTACGGATACGGAGAATTTTACCTTAAGCTTAAACAGCGTCGGAAATCGTGGTTCGAATTTATTCCGGGACTATTTTAATTTATTATTTATTTTTTTACGACCGCCTCTGTGGTCTAGTGGTCGGAGTTCCTGGCTACATATCCAGAGGTGCAGGGTTCGATTCCCGGCGCATCCCAATTTTCTGAGAAGTAGTGGGTCTTGAACGGGGTCCGGTCAGCCTCGTGAGGATAATTGAGGAGCTACTTGAATGGAAATAGCGGCTCCGGTCTAGAAAACCGAGATTAACGGCCATGGGGATCCGTTGCGCTGACCACGCGACACCCTCTATCCACTAAAGTTGGCACTAACTTCGCCGACAAGCGGCTGTCGCTCGGTCGGTATAGTTCGCTTGCGGACTACAGGCCACATTTTTTTTAATTGTTTACATGTACCATTATTTCTTGTGCGTGAAATACAATAAAACAAATTTTATGAAATATCTGACATTTTGGAACAACCTTCAGACGCCGTTTGCATCCAGCTATCGGCATCCATTTTGAGAGATGAGAGTAGTTGTTACAATATGAAGGTTACGACTTGATGGAGACAGACAAATGCCACACGCATGCCTGCGAGCTGCTCGTTGGATGCCAGAGGCAGTCGCTTTTTGTACATGAAATGGCCGTTGTTGTCCTTCATATGATCCAAAATTTGTTATTCGTTATAACTGTTTCAATCTTACTGTAATTTTTAAATTTAAAGTACGATAAGTTTCAACAGGGCAGGCGCAAGAATAAATTCAGCAACAGGAGAAGCCCTCCGTCCATCATTTTAAACCAGACTTTCGTCGCCATTAATAACAAAATATCCACGCCCCGTGACGAAGATCGTCATTAGTGACGTAATTGTAGACACGTTTTTATTTGCATAACGTTTAAACTACTGCCAATTAATTGTCACAATGCGAACAAAAGATCGGAGGAAAATAGTTTCAACTTAACGAACTATAAGAACGAAAGAGGTCCTTCGGTTGGCCTGCGCTCTGGCGTCGACCCTGAGTCTTATTCCTAGACATATATTCTAGACTCAGCTAATTATCGGCTTATATTTCTGTCTTCGTCATAATAATATTGAAATACTGTTAGCGCAAAATAAATTATAATCCGACCTACGCTCCCGCCAGACATCCATGCAACACCGCAAGTATCTGTAGAGAATAAAGGGGCTGTGGTGTAGTCAAAGGCACGTGACACTTCGAGGATGTACGGACGGACGGGCTGCTATCTCGTTTAGGTTATTGCATGACCCAAAAATTGAACGTTTTTAGGAGCTTCCAAAATAACAGCCCTGTCCATGCTGGATACATAGCTTAAATAAAGGTAAAACAATTAAACTTGTCCTCGTACTTAACTAATTAAGCACTACACCATGAAGGCGTATGAGGGAGTGGGTGTATAGATCCACGTGTTCTTGACCTCGGCACTACTTGTAGGTGGGTGGTCAGCTTCACACCTCAGCTCATTTTACCCTCGGTGCCAATTGCATAGGCTGAGTGCGCTCCAGAACAGGTCTGGGCGATGTGAAGAATATTACCCCTACCGGGGCTCGAACTATGACCCCTCGATCGTCGAGCCCGTAGCCAGTCGCTATACCGACTGCGCTATCGCGGCTCCTACGTAGCTCAACTGGTTATGACAGAAGGCGAACCCGTGTTTAATTAAGCAGGAAATGAAAACATTTAAGGGAGTGGAGGTCTAACTCCACATATGCCTAACCTCAAGGTCCCGAATACTTAACCCCAGGAAAAGACCCTCTGAGGCCCATTTTGTAGGGCGATAAGCAGGACCCAGAGCCGGGCTGGACGCTGTGGAGAAGAAAAGATGTCTTCCTCCTGCGGGAATGGAACTCCCATTCTTCGGGCTTCCAGGCCGTATCATCGCTGCTCCACCGTCCGAGCTGTGGAGGGCGCCGGAAGTGAATATCGGATTCTGGTTGGAAAACGTCATGATAAGGTTTCTTTTAGTTTGTTGGGGTGGGGTGAGACTGGGACCACTTGGTACGTCGGCCACTAATTGGCCTGTTGTAGATGGTAGATGATGAGGGTGGAGAAGTCGGTGGAATGAGAATTGGTAGGGGAAACCGAAATACTCGGAGAAAACCTGCCCCAGTGCCACTCTGTCCACCACAAATCCCACCATGACCTGAAGTGGGCTCGAACCCGCGCGCCGCCGTGAGAAACCGGCGACTAACCGCCTGAGCTACTGTACGGTCAACGTCATGATAAGCGTCGCCTTTGAAAGACCAGGCAGGAGTTTCGAGAACAGCATTAAAATGGACCTTAAGGAACGGGGGTTTCGAAAGACGAGAAAGAATCTAGGTGATAATATCGAAATGGATCTTTAGAGACATGGGCTGTGAACTGTTTTAAAAGTTGATCACAGATGGCAGGCTTTGAAATAGGCAGTGTTCAACATACGGATTCTTTGTATAGCCAGAGCGTTATTTAGTTCGTAATTTCCTGCAGCAGTTTTTAACTGACAATCTAACAGAGTGTGAAATGCCGAAGTTACATAATAAGATCCCAAGTAGAAAAATTTAATAAATTCCTAATATCTTAGAAATGGCAGTTAATATTTGCATCGAGACAGGTACAATCAATTTTATTATTATTATTATTTTAGTAGAAATTTCCCCTCTTCTAGATGCGCTTCTGCTGCTAATGTTGTTTGTAGGGACGTTGACGTCTTTGTACCAAAAACTC